CATATGAATGCGCGTTAACTGTGTAGACAGATGAGGCTGGTGTAGGTTGATGCTCCTGGTTTGCCGCTATCTATGCAATAGATTCGCAGATGACCGACCAGGCCCATGCATTACGTGCGTGTGCGGTGACAGTGAGGGCAGAATAGGTTGGGACTGCAGAGTCGGTTGAGGTAGAGGGCGTAATACCAGTTGGTGGATGTGGGGTAGTAAGCACTAGAGGTAGGAGAGTTGTCAAGTACATAGGGTGTATTCGGAGTGTCAATACTACAGTGAAAATCGCTTTCGTGGATGCGTACGTTACCAAGTTGGTCCATGTGATGAGTGAATGCACGAGGGCAGTGGAAGCGGCGGTCTTTTGACACAGACGGGTAAGGGAAAAGAGAGCGCGGTAGATTCAACGCAAGTCTATTAGTACTTAAAACTAATCCGCGAATAAGTTACCTTTCGTGCACCATCATGCGTTGGAACACAAGGTAGACATGGTCTAAATCGACGGCCGATTGCCAGTCTGTGTGCGATGAATTCGGAAGTGACCGGTCAGGCTGATGCTTGAAGTGAATGTGCGATCGCATTGAGGACAGGTTAGAATCGAGTCCCTATTGTTGGGGGAGGGGCGGTTGTGTAGGTAACAGGTCGTTGGAGATGGTTTCAGTGGTGGTGAGAGCGGAGGAATCGGTGGTCGTCGCTGGGGTTACGGTAGAGAAGATGGTGATCGTGATCGTGGGCAGCAAGACATCGGCAGTGTGATCGCCGGTGGTGGGGGTCGTCGTGGATGCCATGGTGTTGGAGGCAGGGATGTTCGTGGATGCAGAAGTTGATGCAACATAGGCCACTAGACACGCCACCCCTCGGGTAATGCAACACACGCCCAGTGGACAACACTTGAACTTGCTCCGCGAACCTATAAAGCAGCTACCACCATTGTCCCACTCTCTCACAGACATAACTGGGCGAAATTAAGATAAGCCTCGGTCTCGCTAGTGGCTACTGCTGCCTGAGGCAGCAACTGGGGTTTCTGTGCATTGATAAATTCCTCTTACGGATGTGTTCTGCTTTTTCCTACAACTCGGGTTTCGTCTGATGATTGTAGCACTCTTAGTACAAACAGTACGTAGAAGCTAGATATAAAAGCACGTGCTACTGTCTTGAAACCTCCATATAATCAAACGTCTTTAAGACCAAAGTAGTCTGTTTAAAAAAAACGCTTTACGGAAGGCGTAAGATGGGGGAAAACTAAGGTGAGAAACTAATATGGGACTTAGTTTACCGTAAACAATTTTGGAGAAAAGGTCGGCTTTACGCTACCATGGAAAACATGGGGAATGCTGATCTAGTTGTGGTTTCTTTCTGAATAGGG